AAGAATGGCAAGAAGGTGAATCCATGTGGAAATTTTTACTTATTGGACAGGGGGAATGAAATCCATGGAGTCTTTTGTTAAGAAATCATTGAAGTAATTGAAAATGGCCCTTGGTCTTCATTGGCAAATCCTGAGGTTTTCCTTCTTAAATCAGGGTTATACTTGTTTAAATTTAACAATAAAGAAGAAATCAGTGAAGTAATTGAAAATGGCCATTGGTTCTTTGGGTCAAGACCACTCCTTCTAAAACATTGGTCAAATGAAGAAGAAATAGAGATGAATCTTGATAATATCTATCCTATGTGGATACAATTGCCAAGCTTAAGACTCAATTTGTGGAATGCCAAATGCATAAGCAAAATAGCAAGTGTCATTGGAAAACCAGTGACTACAGACAAACTCACTGCTAATAGGCAAAGACTAGCCTATGCAAGAATACCAGTTGAGGTAAAAATGCCTTCAAAGCTTCCTGAGCACATAACTATACAAGGGCCAAATGGGAAATTGATTGATCAAATTGTTCATTATGAGTTCAAGCCTAGATGGTGTGATTATTGCAAACAAGTTAGACATGATACTAGTTATTGCAAATGACACCCCCGAGCTCAAAAGAAGTGGATCCCTAAGCAACCTAATGCAACTCAGGCTTCAGCTCCTGTTCCTCCTGGAGATACAGAACAAGATCTTACTTCTGGAATTAATGCAGAAAATGTCATTCAAATGAAGCTTCCTCGGGTACCTGTACTTGCTCAGCAGGTTCATCCAGCTAGAAAACAAGTGGAAGTGGGAACTGGATGCTCTAGCAATTCTGTGCATGTTGTGCATATGGAGGTTAATGCCAACAGGAAAAAATCACCTAATACTCATGCTCAACAAGTTCACTCTGCTGGAAACCAAGCAGAACTAAAAAATGGGAATTCTGGTAATTCTGTGCATGTTTCTGATGCCAACAACAAAAATGACTCTCCCACTGGAAACCCTTGGATGCTTATACAAAGAAGTAAAAGCAAAACCCCTATTAATTCTTTTACCCCTTTGACTAGCATGATGGATGAACTGGATCCATTTACAATGGATAGAGGGGAGACAATCTGATGAATCTATCTTTTTTGGAATATAAGGGGACTAAACAAATCCCCTAAGCAGCATCTAGTTAAGCAGCATATAAATCAGTATCATCTTCCCTTTGTGGCTCTTATTGAGATAAAAATCAAAGAATCCAACCTGTTGGTTATTTCTAAGAAAATTGTTGCAGGTTGGAAAAGTGCTTCAAATGCAACAAGCAATGTCAAAGCTAGAATACTGATACTATGGGATCCTAATATTTTGAACATTCAAAATATGATAATCAATCCTCAGCATATAACATGTTCTGTCAAGTCAATTGATGATAGAGTTGATTGCATAATCTCAGCTATATATGGTTATAATCAGAAAATAGAAGGGGATTATGGACTGAGCTCCTTCACATAAAGCAATCTGTGGGGAATATACCTTGGATGCTCTGTGGTGATTTTAACACCATGATTAATGATGAGGAGAAAATTGGGGGAGTCAAGCTCACTGATGCAGATACAAAAGACTTCAATACTTTTATTGATGATTGTCAACTCTTACATCTCAAAACTGTGGGGAATTTTTTTACCTGGACAAATAAACAAGATCGTAATACTAGGGTCTGGTGCAGATTAGACAGGACCTTTGTAAATGAAGCATGGTTACAGAGATACAACACTAGTCATGTTGAGTATATGCCTCCAAGCTTATCTGATCATTACCCAGCTCTAGTATCAATCTATGATGAGGGTAGGCAAGGCAAGAAAACTTTCAGGTTCTTCAAAATGTGGACTAATCATAGCAACTTCCCGCCTGCTGTGTCTTCTGTTTGGCAAAAACAAGTGAAAGGATACAACATGTTTTCAGTCTACTTCAAGCTCAAAAGTCTGAGGGAGGTTTTGAAAGATCTCAATAAAAAACACTTTGGAAATATAAGTGAGCAGGTACATAGAGCAAAAAATGCACTAGAGGAAATTCAGGAGAAGCTTCATGTGGATCCTTTCAATCATACTCTCATTAGCCAAGAAAAAGAGTGCCTATCAGTATACAATAAGCTCTTGAATTGTGAGATCTCTTTTTTTCAGTAAAAAGCTAGAATCCAATGGTGTGTCAAAGGGGATAGAAACACCAGCTATTTTCACTCAATTATCAAGGCTAGCATACATCATAACAGGGTCCTGGTCCTGAAAAATAGTTTGGGAGAAAGAATCACTGAAGGAGAGGAAATTGCTAACGAAATAATCTCTTATTACAAAAACCTCATGGGCACAACTATTCAAACATTAGATCCAAGCATTGATATCATCCAAAATGGTCCCTGTCTAGAATCAAATCATATCAGGTATCTATCTTTACCTATATCAAATGAAGAAATTAAAAGTGCAATGTTCTCCATACCAGACAATAAGTCTCCAGGTCCTGATGGATATGGAGCTTCTTTCTTCAAATCTTCTTGGAATGTGATTAGAGGTGAAGTTACTCAAACAATTCAAGATTTCTTCAGAAATGGGAAGTTATTGGGGGCTATCAACTCTACATCTATCACCCTTATACCTAAGGTGCACTGCCCAAGCACTCCTGCAGATTTCCGGCCAATCTCATGCTGCAACTGTCTATATAAAGTGATATAAAAAATTCTTGCTAATAGAATTCAATCAGTGATGGGATATCTTATAAGTGATGCTCAAAGTGCTTTTGTCAAAGGTAGAAATATAGCTAACAACATCCTCTTAGCTCATGAGTTGGTGAAAAACTATGGTCGAAAATACATCTCACCAAGGGTTATGATAAATATAGACATAAAAAAAGCCTTTGATACCATTAGCTGGAAGTTCATTGAAGCTATGCTAAAGGGGCTGGGTTTTTTCCCAGAATTATGATAGAAAGGATCATGACTTGTATATCTTCCTCTAAATATTCTATCTCTCTCAATGGCTCACTCCATGGCTATTTCAAAGGAGAAAGAGGCCTTAGGCAAGGAGATCCTCTCTCTCCCTATTTTTTCATCTTGGGCATGGAATACCTCTCAAGGAATCTGGATTTACTGAAACAGGACAGAGAATTTAGTTTCCATCCAAAGTGTGGAAAACTTAAAATCACACATTTGATCTTTGCAGATGATCTCTTACTGTTTTGCAAAGGCAATCTAAAATCAATTCAGAAGATTTATCAATGCATCACACATTTCAGTGGGGTTTCTGGTCTTGATGCGAACCCAAGCAAAAGTGCTGTATTCTAGGGGGGGGGGTTCCTGAACCTGTTAAGGAAGCTATCAAAAACCACTTGAATTTCTCTGAAGGATATTTCCCTATCAGATACCTTGGAGTTCCATTAGTAAGCAAGAGGCTTTCATTACAGGATTGTAATCCCCTCTTCACTAAGATATCCAATCAATTTCAGAAATGCCTGAGTATCAGAAATCTGTCATATGCAGGAAGAACTCAGATTATCAAAAGCATTATCCTTGGCATTCAAATTTATTGGACCTCATGCTATATACTACCAATCAAAGTGTTGCAAAAAGTGGATGAATTATGCAGAGATTTTCTATGGGGTAAAAAAGACCAAATCCGCAAGATTTCATTGGTTTCATGGAGTAAAACATGCACAGGTATGATATATGGAGGCCTAGGAATCTTTTCTTCAATAATTTGGAACTATGCTTCAGCAATGAAGATACCATGGGATATACACTCAAATAAAGAGTGTTTGTGGATAAAATGGATTCATGGGACATGTCTAAAGCACATGGATATTTGGCAAGTGAAAATAAAAAATAGTGATTCTTGGATGTGGAAGCAACTCCTAAAAACCAGAAACAAAGCATTACAACAATGTGGAGGAGTAGAAAACCTGCTGGAGCTAATTAGGTCATGCTGCTGTAACAATAACAAAATCAAGATACCAAACCTGTATCAAGCAATATCCAAATTATCCTCTGCTGTTGATAAAGTGCCATGGTGCAAAACAATCAATCTGGGGGGGATTTAATCATCCTAAGCACTCATTCATTTCCTGGTTGGCAGTCCATGACAGGCTCTTTAACTCAGGACAAGCTGCTTAGAAGAGGAGTTATTCAAGCTAATCAATGCATATTATGCTCTGGTGCTGAAGCAGAAAGCAGGAATCACCTGTATTTTGACTGCATCTACACAAAAGAAGTCTGGAACAACATTATGGACTGGTTGCAATTTAAATGGAAGAGCTGTGATTGGAATCTCCTTCTAAATTGGTACAACTCTAGCTTACGAGGGAAGGATTTTAAGCATAGAGTAAAGAGGATGGCATTATCTACCTCTATATATAATATCTGGCTGGAACACAATGGAAGAATCTTCAAACAAAAATGTAAGGGGACTGAACAACTTACCAAAGCAATCAAGGTGGACATGATGACTATTGTTCTTAATAGCAATATACCAACAGAAGATGAGAGATGGCTACTTTCCCTTTAGCTGAATATAGTTTTGTAGGGAGCTGTAGATTACTCAGATTCTGAGTTTTTTGATGTACATAAAATCTCCATACGGTCAAATGAATAAAAAAAATTTCATTTACCAAAAAAAGAAGCAAAGACCAATGAAGGTTCCCCTTAAATAGAAACCTGAGTAATAATTGTATTTTGCACTTTATTCCTCTTTCTATTTCTTTTTTTCCCTAGCAAATTAGAAGGTATCTATCTTTGAGGAATCATTTTCCTAAGTGTAGGCAATGGGCCTAAATTCTCTTCAAATTCTGAGAGGTTAGAGCCTTGAAAGAACTTTCAGATTATTCGGCAGCATCACATTTTATAGTTCATATAGCTCGTGTTGTAGTTTTTTCCGCTACTGTGGGTCACTTTTTTAGTTTAACAGGCGTCTGAGAGGTTATTATCATATTAGTTTCCATATCTGATGTTTGTGTTTACTATTTAAATATACATATGATTCCTGATTTTATTCCAGGTGAAAGATGGCTTGAAAAGCGATCCCAGGTACAAGAGTGTGAAGCATGAAGAAAGGGAAATCTTGTTTAATGAGTATTTATCTGAACTGAAAGCTGCTGAAGATGAAGCAGAACGAACTGCAAAGACCAAAAGGGATGAACATGTAAGAATCTTAAAATACTTTTGAAAGTAGTAATAGTTGTTGCTTATTGATTCGTGAAGTGTACATTTGTCTGGATATGTTATTACTGCACTTATGCTTATGATCTGTATTATCTTTTAGGATAAATTAAAGGAAAGGGAGAGGGAAATGCGAAAAAGAAAAGAACGGGAAGAACAAGAAATGGAGAGAATTAGGGTGAAAGTTCGCAGAAAGGAAGCAATATCTTCGTATCAAGCCCTGCTTGTGGAAACAATCAAAGATCCAAAGGTTGGTTATGGAAATTGGCGCGATGATGCTGTTGAATTTGGAAACTGTTGCCATTTTATTTTCTGGTCCCCTTTACCACATTTAACAGACCTTTCTTTTCTACTTAATATTTTGCATGTTTGCCGCATATTCCTTGACCATTTTAGTCAGCTGTGGCCTTGAATGTTTATAGCTAGCTTCTTCTAGCTTGAAACATAGTGAAGAAAATGCTGCCGTAGTTCATACTTGTTCTGATAGTTATCTTCAACTAGAGGGTAAAATTCACAAAACACCCTTGAATAATCTCGGGGGTTTCAAAACTCCCATGAACTTTTAAAATGCAGAAAAATTCCATGAACTGTTGCAAATTATTGCTCATAACATTAACGTCTTGGACAGAAGGGTTAAAACACTCTTTTTATATATTAACCCGGAAAGTTCGTGAGGTAATATAAAATAATGTGTGTAAAAGCAATATAGTCCAAAACATGTCACATGGATAAAAACATACAACATACATGATAGTCTGGTGAAAAAACTTCATGTTTCTTCCTAATAAAAAGGTTTATGGTATTTTGTGCAAGACATCCCAAGTTCATAGTAGTTTTGTGAAATTGGTGTTAAATAATTGGGTTATCTGACATGTAAACAAGAGCATTGTGCATCATAAAATATGAAATGAATCATCTGCTTGTGGTTTTTATAAGCTGCGTTAGGATATTTCCTGCGGAGTTCATTGATGCTGATTTCTGTTACCTTCTGTAATTTTGCTGTTTTCACTGCCTCCACTAAAATCATGTTCCTTGTTAGGCATCTTGGACGGAGTCTAAACCAAAACTAGAGAAAGATCCTCAGGGCCGCGCTGCAAATCCTGATCTAAGTGAGGCCGATATGGAAAAGTTATTTCGTGATCATGTTAAGGACTTGCTCGAGGTAACATACTGCACTGGTAGTGCTAATTGAATGCTCTTGCTCACCACGGAGTCACACAATTAAGTTGCATATAGATCATTAGTTTCGACGTGTTAATATGCAAGTGAGCTAGATGTGGTCTAGTAAGTTGATTAAGCGTGAAATATTTGCAATCCAAAGGTACTTAGGAAGCTAATTCGTATTGATTTTATTTTTATGATAGAAAATTATTGGGCCGTTGATAATGTCAATAGTGTTGTAGAAATTGTTATTATGATCATCATAGATGTTATTTTAATGAGCACATTTTTAATTAGGGTAAAGTGCAGTCAAACCCCTTCATCTATACCTTCAGTAACAATCAAGGGAGAGGGCATGGGTGTTACTTGTAATTTATCTATGTAAAGATGACAATAAGGGCTTTTTTTTTTTAACCAATGACATTGAGATTGTATATTGATTTAATGTAGAGGATTTTGCAGTCATATTACTATGCACTAAATAGTCTGAACAATTAATGTGCAGCGTTGTGCGCGTGAGTACCGTTTTTTGCTTGCTGAAGTTATAACTATGGAAGCTGCGGCTAAAGTGAGTGATGATGGGAAGAATGTCCTTAATTCTTGGACAGAAGCCAAACGCCTTCTGAAGCCAGACGCTAGGTACTCCAAGATGCCTAGAAAAGAAAGGGAGTCTCTCTGGATCAGATACTCTGATGACATGATCAGGAAGCATAAACCAGCAGCTGATCCCAAAGATAAATCAGATAGAGGAGGTAAAGATAAATCATCAGCTGATATCTCCAGAAAGTCACCAAGGAGATCACATGGCCGGAGGTAACTAACAGTGGAGAGAGCCCTTGCGTTCGAACTGTATTAGCTTCCCCCTAGCACCATTTTGCGTTGAAAGATTAGCGGGTAGTTCCGTTAGCTTCACTGATTTGTTTTTAAATCAACCAAATGAGGGATAATGGAAGATGTCATGGTGTAGATTGCAAAATGTATTTCATGGCCTCGTCATTGCTTTTGGTGGCTGGTGATAATCTTTAATTTCAGATGTTTTATGCTGCATTCTTATTTTAGTCAAGTGATTCTATTAGAAGTTGTTCTGCTTATGCTAAAAACCTGATGGCTACTGAATTCTTCTAAGGTTTACTAATTTATATTGACTACAGGATTTTACGAATAACTAGGCTCGGAGTTCTATTTACGGACAATGGATACAAATTAGCTAAATTACCATCACGAGTGCACAAACAAGTAAGGGAGGGAAATGGTTTTGTACAATGGATACAAATTAGCTAAATTACCATCACGAGTGCACAAACAAGTAAGGGAGGGAAATGGTTTTGTTCGAGAGCATCTTTATGCGTAACATACCATCACGAGTGCACAAACAAGTAAGGGAGGGAAATGGTTTTGTTCGAGAGCATCTTTATGCGTAACATACTCAGGGATCACAGAGGCACTGTGCAGGTTTCTCGGTGCATTGATTCCTTGATTTTCTCATCTAAAGCCTCGTTTTTCATGAATTTTAAGGCAAATTTTGGGGACCAAGCCTGTAGTTTTCCTTCAACTCCGGTGCAAGCGTATGCTCTTGTTTGATCACTACTCCAAAGGGATAACTATAAGTAGATAGGAGTTAAATGACTCGTGATACCTTCCTTAAGAAGAAAAAAAAGAAAAAGAAAAGGATATATAAAAAAAAAAAACCTAATAGCGCCTGAATACCTTACTTTCACTTTGGTTTGCAGTAATATACCCTCACTTGCTTTGTTCTAGCATTTATATATCTAAAGTTATATAATATTGGCAAATTAGTATCTTATATTACGTAGACGTGAAAATTTTCACTTGAAATTTTCCTTATGATATTCACATGCTAATTTATTCGAAGCGTGAATATTTAGGTGAAATTTTTTACTTTTGCATAACTGAGTGTGTTATAGTTCCATTTTGAAACGACTTAGAGGATGTATAATCGTTGCGAAGGAGTGAGATAAGTGAGTGAAATTGTAAGGTATTTAAGTGCTATTTAGCCTGACCAAAAAACCATAAACCCATATAAACCCCTGCTCCTTTCCTCTCTCAGTAGCCCCCCCAACAATTGTTTAATTTAAAAAAAAAAAAAATCTGTTCGTTGAGTTGATAATGACCAACTGCTATCCTCAATTGTTAATGTGTTTATTCAAGTGACTAACGACCTATATGCGATTTCTATAATGACCAACTGCTTGAAAAACTTGGAATTTTAGTGTATGCACACATCCACAGCGAGGGTCAAAGATCAAACAACGAAAACGACGAGATATGTATGAAGCTCGAAGGAATAGATAAGACCAAGAAACAAACATAATGCATTTTTATTGAAATCTATTTCACAATGTATCACCTAAAATATGCATTAATTCTCATAAGAGAAAGTGTTCATACTTCTCTTTTTCTAAAGAAATTTCTTCTGATTAGTTGATCATGCAGTTCCTCTTCCGCCACAAGCCACATTGGATTTTGGTAGCAGCCACTTATTGACGCGCTCCTGAGCGATAGTTACCTGCGCATTCAGGTGAAAGTTCGGGAGGTGTCACTTACTGAATATCAAAACAAAATTATCATGCTATTTTAGGACAAATTTTTAAAACCAACATGTTTGCCAAAAAATTCCCCAAAAAAGACCCGTTTTAAACTTAATTTCAAAAACCGACCCAGTTGGACTGAAACTGGGTCGGATTTTGAAAAAAAAGTTCCCAAACTTTACGGGAGTTGAAATCCCGTGAAGTTTTGTTACATAAATATTGGAGGTGTTGACCATAGAACAAGAATTCGAAAGGAAGAATTTAAAGTAGTAATTACCTGCTTGTCCCAATTTGTTCTCCAAGTTATGCAGACAAGAACAAGCGTCTGAACTAACGTTCCCAGTATCATTCCTATCCAGATTCCCTGCAGTGGGGATTGAAAGAATTATTATAGTTTCATAATCCAGCTGCTGAGTTCTATACAAGTTCTCTACTTGAGAGGAAAAATCAAACCATTTCGCCAATAATTAAATTATAGTCCAAAATTCATCCATTTTAATCCTAGCTTTCTTAGACGCATAATCGTCCGTTTTATTTATTATACCCACAATTAATTCTGAAATATTGTCATTCTCTGGATCATATTAATTAGTTGCGCATGTCGTATCTCACATTGACTTGATAACCAATCAAATATCCGAGCACAATTCCTAGGGGTATCCCGATCAAGTAGTAACACGTAACATTCACATAGGCTACCACACTTTGCCACCCTGCGCCCACAGCGACCCCTGCGCATGAAAACCGCATGAAAATCCATAATTTTTCAAGAAGTAAATGGCCTAAGTATCATGTTTCTTCTGAATAATTTCAAAGGCATATATGGTTATGCGACTGCATAGTATTATGATCATTTTTGGAGCTTGTGGATATATATATACTAACCAGATAGCACTGGCTGAACGCTATTCAGTAGAATGGAGAAAGCCAACAGAGGAGAGAGGACAGCAACTTCGCGTGCCACTTCTCCGTCCTCTGTGAATACATAAGCAAGACTCCCGCGAAATAATAGAAACAAAACGAAGAGAACAGATCCAATGGAAAGTGATTCGCCGACCACCACAACAATAGAGAATTTTGCAGCTTTTGCACTGCCACCGCCTAGCTCATTTGCCACTCGAACACTGTAATTTCGTTAACGAAATATATAATGGACCAATCAGATTTCCCAGTCCAGCAAAACTTAGTTAAATAGAGAGGAATAGCTTACTGTGGATATTTCATTCAAATAGCAAAAAGCTAGTATGAGTCAGTTAATACTTAGGAATGTCACAGTTTATGTTATTGATATTGACTATCTATTTTCAGGAGTTGAAGAAGATTCAGGCCACAGATAAGTCAATATACAACAATCTTAGGCATGTGTAATTTTAGTTTGATATCACACATATCTTGTTGATCTTTGAGGAGAAATAGATAAAATACAAAATATATATCACAGTAGTCTTGCCAATTAGTGATCCATGAAATGAATTATACAATATAATTTATTTTAATTATATATAATATCATAAATTAAGTTCGTTGCAATGGTGAATATCATTTAATCTAATATAAAAGGTGTACATCATTTAGTTATTGGATAACAGTTTTGTCGCAGTGTGTGTAATTCTGTGTGTGCACGTACGCATGGCTGTGTTTGTATACGTGTTGTGGATTTGTAAGTTGACTCATGATTCTCTCTCTCTCTCTCAATCACTAGATATTACTGTTGTTGGATCTTTCCTAATCAATGGATATTATTAATTAATTTATACTCTCCAACTATGAGATATGTTTTCCTCTACATAATGATAAAGCTACGGACCTGGTAAGATACAGACACTTACCAGGTATTTACATACATACACCATGTAGATATCGAATACTATATATCGAGATTATATTATACTGTAATGTAACTATAGATGCACTCCTCAATAATTGTCTTTGACATAACAAGAACTTATTTCTTCTTCAAAATTCTGTTTCCTTTTATCTACTTTTTACATTTGTATGCATGTATGTGCATGCGCATATGGGTGCA